TTCGCTTCAAAGACTTTGTAAGATACTCATCAACTTCTCTGTGATGGAATCCAACCGTCTCCAACTCCAAATCAAATTCCTGAGGTAAACTCACGCCTAGTGGCCGAGAAGTAACGATAACCTGTGGCCATGCCAGAAGCTCGTCGAGGAGTTTGCCTGTGTCCGTTCCAGATTTCAGTTCGCGGGACACCTCATCCATTCCGTCGAGAATAAAAAGAATCCTGCCAGAATATACATGGTCACTCACCATGCTCCACAGCAGCTTGGCCAGAGCTTCTCCGTCATTGTGAGAAAGAAAATATTCATTATAAAAAATGTCTCCAAAATTCCTGTATTCTTTGTTTTCTTGTAACTGCGTCTTGAGTCTCCGCAGAGGTATCCATAGAATACAGTCAAACCACTGCTTCCACATGTTATTTTGAAAATAATCATGCACGATTTTTTTACAGAGAGTAGTTTTTCCAACCCCTGCACGCCCTCGAATGAATATGCGTTTGGGTAAGAGTATTTTGTCGCCGAGCTTCCGTTCTTCGAAAAGCGATGGCAAAGATATTCGTTCATCCTGAACAGTAGCTTCTACTTTCAGACGAGAGAAGAGCGAGAACGGCATGTCTGTTGGGGATTCAGACAGCTGTTTCTTGTGTTCAACGATGGTTAAGTTAATATAACACTGCTCCATATCCAGAAGCGCGCCCGACAACCGCTCAATCCGGAGAAGATCATTCTTAAAATAATATTCCTTTAAGAGAAGAAGTGGATCAGATGTGGCTATAAAGAGGGTTAATATGCTGCCCAAAAAACAAGCATTGTGCGAGAGCGGGTGTGTTTTTCACTTTGCACTGGCTGGAAACACTGTCGGTCGTCACTTACCAGCATTTTCACTTTTTGGCATCATTCTCAAAAACTCCTTCGCATACGCTGCCGCCGTGGCCGCCGCGTAATACTGCCATGTCTTGTTCTTATGAGAATCCGAATAATCGCATATGCCACGAACCACGAGGCAATCATGTCCTTGAATAACGCCTGCGCCTTCCATCTCGAAACAGATGACTTGAAGCTTTTTTTGAAGGTTCTCCCTCATGCATTCTGAGATTTGGAGTTGGTTGCTGGAGGCGATGTTACCGTATTGGATTTTTGGAGTATCCACCGGCCTGGAAGCTTCGTTGCCTCGACTCTCCCGGTTTTTTGACTGCCTTGGGTCACAGTGACCTTCGCAAGGTTGATCTTGAAATCTCTCAGGGTGGTCATATCCTACAAAAAGATTATCCTTAAGGGCGCCTGGGTCTTCAAATTTATCTCGCTCGTCCCTATCTATTCTTGTTCGCATTTCCTGTATGTATAGAGGAAGATTTGCTCTTCCATGAGCTTGATGGTGCTCTTTAAGCAATTTGACCGTTTCGAGTAATCGAGGAGAAGGGCCGTTTATGTGCCCACGCATTTCAAGGTGGCCACGTTCGATCCAGGCTCCAAAATCATATCGAACAACACCGCCATAATCACGGAAAGGAACACTAACAACCACATCACCCAGCACAATCTCAGACTTTGCGCCAGGTGGACCGTAGCTCGGGACCCCACCTCCTATGCCAACGACCAATAAAAATTCAATATTTTTGAAGGCGGAACGCATCCTTGGCAGCGAGGTCCGATGCAGCGTCTGTACCCATTTTGGGCTGTACGCCCATCACAAACATAGTGTTTGCCCTATTTTTCCCCCCATAGAAAAGAATCAATCTTCTCAATGTTCCCACCCCTCAAGCATTCCTTTTGCAGCTGCTAGCTCTAAGGGTAAGAGCGCTATCCACCCTACAGTGTATTTGGCACGATCCATGATGCTGGACATCACTTGCGAAGGTGTCTGGACGAGAGTCGATCTGATTAGAGGCTGTTGTTCCTGTGTGCCTGTAGCTGATCAGTTAGCTTGGTCATTTTTTCTTCCAATCTATATTTTGAAGGTCTGGACCCACGATGCCGACAAGAAAGAACGATAGCTGAACACTAATAAATTCGGAGTAAGAACAAATCTTGCCAATACGGGGAAGATTTTCAAGGCCCAAAGGTCGAACTTTGGGTCATGTTTCATTCATTCTAGACCATTTAATTCACTGGTAAATGGGTCAGCTCGACGTGAATTCTGGAAGACCTGTGAGTTCCAATGGTAATAACACGTGACAGGGATGGCGGGGTTGGTCCTTGAGTTATCTCAGCGGGCTCAGACCCTCTGTTTGCTCGGTTGGAGCGGCATGACACTAAACTACTTTTGTCACAAGTCATGTGCTCAGAGCAACCCTCGCCAGAGGGTCTGAGAAGAAATGGTTCATTCACTGGAGATTCCTAATATTTTCATAGATTCTTCAATTTCTTCAACTTTGAATTTCAATTACACATTTCTCACACATCTTTGAGATTTGAAAATCACCATAGATTATAGCTACAGAGGAGAAGAATAGGAATGTATATTTAATATATTAAAAAAAGTGATATTTAATATAGATGTATACTGTTGAAAATGATCATATTTCATTAACTCTAGAATTCCATTTACAGAGAGAAATAGCAAATCGTTCCCGTGTTGGAAAAAACATGGGTCAACTTTGACCTGATACTTCATATGTAAGGAATAGGAATATGAACATAAAAATTAGCACCATCGCGAGAACATTGAATTCTCTAGATTCTATGGTGGTACAGAGATGTTGAATAGATGGAGTTGAGTTGCTCTTCCCCTCTATGAAAAAGTATACTTTTATACTTTTCTCCGGGGCTAGACATAATAGACAAACTGAAATGATTCGAGGAAAAACCAAAGTGAGAGACAAAGAAAAAAGGGGGAAGAGCAAACAAACAAAGACACAAACAAAGGAACACACACAAAGAAAATACCATACCATGGGCGGGAATGTGATAGGCAATATCAATACGGCTCCTGGGCCGGAATGAAATCTGAGAAGCGAAATAAGATCAAACGAAGAGAACAGAAACAAACAAAGAAAACAATCAAGACAGGCGTAGTACAAAACAAATCAGGACTGAAATTGATATTGACACATCACAATAGTTGAAGATCCTGACCAACCACCGCCCCCTGCGCGATCTCCCATTGACTTGCCCCCTCGCGCGCGGATCCCAGGATCCACCACCTTTTCAACCAGCCACTCCTACTCCGTGGAGAGACACCGGCTTGGGACGCACCGGAAGTGGCCACTTCATCCCATGGTAAAGGGAGATTTCCGTAAGTGGAGGGTACGTGTATAGCTGTGGTAGACTCTTTGTAGCAGCCATTGGGAGATATTCTCGCTCAACAGCATCCATGTTTTCTCGGCCTTGA